AGGTCAGGCAAAGAGAAGAAGAACAGACAAAATGCCCCGCAGGGCACCTGGACTCGCCGCCCCACTTCTTCGAGGGAGGGAAAGCCATCCAGGCCCCCACACATGGCGTTCACGAATCGGCCTTGGGCGTTTGCTAGACAGCTTTGACCTGTTCGTTTCCTTCCCTGGGTGCGTTTATGAAACGGCTTCTCTTGTTCTAAGCCGCTCGAGGCGCACAGTTCTTATGCCCCAGCGCCTTACCTTGCTTTGGGGCATAAGAACTGATATGGCTGCTGATGTTCCTCTCCGCCACCTCAATTCCGCCGCAGTGGGGCTCGACGTTTCAGCGCTTGCGGTCCCGCGCCCGGTTGCGGCGACGCAAATGGCAGGACGACGACGACGTCGACGACGACGACGACGCTGACCACGACGACGACGACGAGAAAATCGAGGGTGGGGACGAGGACGACGGCGCGACGCGACCCGGCCAACCAACCTGACGAACCAGACGAACCAGACGAACCAGACCAGCCAGACCAACCAGACCAATCAGACCAGCCAGACCAAGCATACCAGCCAGAACCGAACGCGCCAGACTAACCGGGCCAACCAACCAAACCAATTAAAGGAAGTAGACGAAGCAGACCAGCCAGACCAAGCAGACCAGGCAGACCAATCAATGAGACCAGACCTGTAGACCAACCGATCAGGCCAGACAGACCAGACCAGACCAGCCAGACCAAACAGACCAGCCAGACAAGACCAGCTAGACCAGCTACACCAGCCAGACCAACCCCAACCAGACCAGCTTGACGGGCCGGACCAGCCAGACCAACCAACCAGACCAACAAGACCAGACCAGCCAGACTAACCAGACCAACCAAACGAAGCAGACCAGCCAGACCAACCAGACCAACCACACCAGCTAGACTAAGCAGACAGCAGAACAAGTAGACCAAGCAACCAGACCAGCTTGGCCAGTCGATCCGGTCAGGCAGACCAAACCAGACCAGACCAGCCAGACCAACCAGTCCATCCAGAGCAGACCAGACCAGCCAGACCAGCCAGACCAATCAACCAGACCAGACCACCCAGACGAACCCGACCAGCCAGACCAACGCGACAGACCAACCAGACCAACGAGACCAGCCAGAGCAGACCAGACAAGACCAACCAGACCAACGAGACCAACGAGAAAAAACATACCAGCCAGACCAAGCAGACCAGCTTGACCAGTCGATCCGGTCAGGCAGACCAAACCAGACCAGACCAGCCAGACCAACCAGTCCATCCAGAGCAGACCAGACCAGCCAGACCAGCCAGACCAATCAACCAGCCAGACCAATCAATGAGACCAACCAGACGAAACCAGCTAGACCAACGAGACCAACGAGCAAAAAAACAGCCAGACCAAGCAGACCAGCTAGACCAACCAGACCGACCAGACCAGCCAGACCAATTAGACCAGCCTGGCGAACCAGACCGATAAAGCAACCCGAACCAGACAAACCGAACCAATCGGACGTACCACACCAGACGAACCAGACCAACGAGGTGAACTACTCGACCAACCAGTCGACGCGAGACCAGCCAGACCAGACCAGAGTAACAAGACCAGGATCGAGGAGCGGCCGCGTTTTTTCTCGACCTGGGCCGTTGTGGAGTACAGCTAAGTAAGCTCCATCGCCGAGCAGCGCCGCGCTGGGGGTCCATGCGTGACCACGTACCCCCCCAGACGGCGCCAGTCTGGAATCGTCAGAGATGGTGATGCTCTTCCTCCTCCCCCTCCTTCTACCCAACGCCATGCCAACGCCAGCTAAAGCCTCAGCACCAGGCTCAAACCAGACCAGCCCGACAACTCCGACCAGATACAACTCCGACCAGCTTGTTCTTTGGAAGCTTGGCGTCCCGCCGTGCGCTACACGGCTAAGAACTTTATCGGGTGCAGGTTCAGAACAGTCTTTCTGAGAGTTCCAATTGTTTCTGAGGGTTTCTGAGGGTTCACACTTTTTCTTTGGTCCCCAAGGTGCGATCCGTATGAGGGTTGTGCCAAAATTGTTTGGTTGGCGGGTTTGCTGATAGGTTGGCTATTTGGTTGGTTGGCTTGTTGGTTGGTTGGTTGATTTGTTGGTATGTCGGTTGGTTGGTCAGCTGGTTGGTTGGTTGGTTGGTCGATTGTTCGATTGTTTGGTTGGTTGGGTGGTTGGTTTGTTGGCTTGTTGGTTGGTTGATTGGTTGGTTGGCTGGCTGGTTTGTTGGTGGGTTGGCCAGTGGGCAGGTTGGCCGATTGGCCGATGAGCCGGTTGGTTGGTAAGTAACATTGCGTGGTTGTTGGATTGGTTTGGTGGTTGGTTGGTTGATTGATTGGTCGGTCGTTTTATCGATTAGTTCGTCGGTCGTTGATTGGTTCGTTGGTTGATTGGTTGGTTGGTTGGTCGGCCGGGGTGCCCGCTTGCCCAGGAGGCTCGTCGGTGTTCGAGGGGTTGGGCGAATTGATTGCTTGATTGGAGAATTGAAATGGTGTTGGGTCCGAGGGTTGAGGAGCCCGTGGCGGGCTGACGCTCGGAAGTTTGAGCGTTCCGGAATTTGACATCCCCTCCAGGTTGTTGAAGCGTTTCTGGCCTGCATCGGGCAGTGTGACGAGGCCCCCAAGAGCGCCCCAAGACAGCCCCAAAAAGGTTCCAAGACGGCCCAAGAGAGCCCCAAGACAGCCCCAGTGTGGCCCCAGAGGGATCCGAAAGGTTCCCCGGAGAGCCCCAAAGGGGCCACAGGAGGCCCCCAAGAGGGCCCTGGAGGGCCCCAAGAGGCCCCCAAGTCGGCCAGAGAGGGTCCCGGGACAGCCCAAGAGCTCCAAAAGGACCCACAAGAAGGCCCAGAAATACAATATTCATAGATTTTCGCTAAGTTTCTTGCTAGATCTTTGTATGTCGCACCAAAGCCTCCCAGCAAGGCTCCAGACACTAGCCAGCGACCTCGCGCCCTAACGGAGAGAACCCGCGCTTTCCGTCCCCATGCCAAGCAGTTAATGGAAAGAGCGAGGTACGATTAAGTTCTTGTGTGTGGGGGGCGAAGCCCCTCAGGAAGTGGTCCAAGGGAGGGGCGAGGGCCACAAGCATGGGTGCTAATGGCCGCCTGGGGGTCGCTTCCCTTGTATTTTTGTTCGATCCCAGAAGCGCTCTAAAACGCGCCAAGACGGGCCCAAGACGGCCCAAGAGGGGCCCAAGATGGTCCCAGGACGGCCCAAGAGGGCCCCAAGAGCGCCCCCAGACGCTCCCAAGAGGGCACCTGGAAGCCCCCGCGAGAGCCCCAAGAGGGTCCAAGACCTCCAAGACGCCCCCAGACGGCCCAAAAGGGCCCCAAGACGGTCCAAAAGAGCCCCAAGACGGCCCACAAGGGCCCCAGAAGGGTCCCAGAAAGAACCCCAAGAAGGCCCAGAGACGCCACCAAAAAGAGCGACCGGTAACGCAAAAAGCTCTTCATTCTAAACAGCGACAGGTGACGCAACAAGTTCTGAACACCAAGGCTCCCAAGAGCGAGCGGTGACGTAAACTACTCTCAACACCAAGGCTCCCAAGAGCGAGCGACGTGTAAAAGTCTCTGAACACCAAGGCTCCCAAGGGCGAGCGGTGACGTAACAAGCTCTTACCACCAAGGGCTCCCAAGGGCGAAGGGCTGGCGTGAGCCATCTCGGGCAAGTTCCGGGTCCGCTCTTTCCGTTCCCGTGCCGGTACGGCCTTTCGGGTGCCTCCTGGCGATATTTTTGAAGCTTCTGAGGGGCTGTTTTTGGCTCAAGCCGCGAAAGTTTAAACCAGTTTTATTGTGAAAGCTTGTACTCGTGAATCCGGTCGGGCTGACACTGTGTGAGCCGAGCCTTTCGATCTGCAGAGGGTGTTCAAAGCACGTGCGCTCGAGCCCTGCTGACCGGGTTGTGAAACACTTGTTGAGGAAAAGTGCAGTTGTCAGGCGTCCAGTCTGTCACTTCAGAGTTTACTCATCGAAGGGGGCCTCCTGGGGTCTCGAGGCGGCTCCTTCAGGGCCTTTTGGGGCTTATTGGGGGCGCCTTGGGGCCTCCTGGGCGCCTCTTTGGGCCTCCTGGGCGCCTTGTGGGGCCCTCTTGTGCTGCCTTGAGCACCTCTTGGGCCGTTTTGGGTCTTTCTTGGGCCGTCTTGGGGTGGTCTTGGGGGCCTCTGAGGCCGTCTTGGGGTAGTTTTGGGGGCCTCGTGGGACGTCCTGGAGCGTTGGAAGTTTGGGAAAGCGAGAACCCAAGAAGTCTTGGGACCATCTTGGGCGTCTTGGATCGATCACGCGGCGATTCGAAGCCCTCTTGGACTGTTTGGGCGGCCTCTTGGGACCCTCTGGACCCGTCTTGCGGCCCGCTTGGGCCCGAACAAAATACGCGACAAGCCGCGACGCGCCCTAGGGGAACTGCGGCAAGTCCCAGACGATTTGGGTCTAGGCTTCTCAAATAATCCTCAGGACTGAGGCCTGAGATTCCAGAGCATCAAGCGAGGGACCTGAGGAGACTCCAGCTCGTGCCTCCGGGGCGCGGTGGCGGACATTGAGGCGTTTGATAGTGATTGTTGTGTTGGGGGAGTTTGGCAGATTCCTGTCGATGCATATTCTGCTTCTGCTCGTGGGCATCGTGTGGTGGTCACCGACGCACCGATCGTGGCATTCGTAGCCCATGATGGTGTTTGAGCATGTTGCGTTCGCAGGGATCCTCCATATTGTTGTACTTGCGTGTGCTTGCGTTCGCAGGCATCCTGTGGTTCTCGCAGGGACGGTGTGGTGCTCGCAGGAGTTTGATGCTTGACAGGAGTGGTGGGGGAGAGGGGGCGGGGGTATTGGCGTGGTTTGAGGCTGGTAGAGTGGGGGAGGGGGACAATATAGATAAGGAGCAGTGTTGAACCCCTCCCCGAAGAGGAAGCGCTCTAAACCACCTACGCCCTGAAGGCCGGCGAGAGTCTGGCCTCGGAGTGATCCGATCCGATCACTCTTGCTCCCCCCCCGTCGCCGCGCAGGTGGCACCAGTGCCGCCGCGGAGCGCCGAGACGCAGCGGCCCCCTCCGCGGAGGAGGCGCCGCCGCGGCGCCGAAGCCATCGTCATCGTCGTCGTCGTCGTCGTCACCGTCACCGTCACCGTCACCGTCACCGTCGCCGTCGCCGTCGCCGTCACCAGTCGTCGTCGAGGTGGCCTTCGCCGTCGCCAGCGTCGCGGAGGTCGCCGTCGTCGCCGTCTTCGTCGACGTCGCCGTCGCCTGCGTCGTGAAGGCCGCCGTCGACGCCGCCGGGTTCGTCGTCGTCGCCTTTGTCCTCGTCGCGGGCCCAGGGCGCCTCCGGATGGGCCGCCCTCGGGGGGTCCAGGGCGGCCCCCAAGGGGGCGTCAACGACGGCCCGCCAGAGCGCGGCCCTCCCGGGCCAGGGGAGGCGACTCCTGGATGAGTTTCGGGGGCTGCTCGTGCGGCCACAAACCACGAGGGAGCCGCGTGTGGTCTCGACAGGACCACCGCGGGACAACCAAACAGCAAAACAGAAACAGCGGACAGATACAGGATAACCACGGTGCGGCCGTACGGCAGCGGCGGGACAGCCAGTGGAGCACGTGACGGCCAGGCTCAGGTTGGGGAGGAAAGAAACAAGTGAACAAGATATGTTGCCTTGCTGTGGGGGAATCTCGCGCAGCACCGCCCCCTTCGCGCGCACGGCACGTGCCGAAGCATGAACAGATTTCGCGCTGGGGGGAGGGAACTTCTGTTCACTTCGGACTGACCCCCCAACCTCCAATATGTTGGTCCATCACTGCCGCAGATGTGCCTCTGTCAATCAATCACCGATCGGGTATTGAAGATATGGGTGAAGACGATGATGATGATGATGCTGATGGTGATGATGATAATGATGATGCTGATGCTGATGATGACGATGACGATGACGAAAACGATGATGATCAAGACGATGCTGATGACGATGTTGTTGATGACGATGATGATGACGATGACGATGCTGATGGTGGTGATGATGATGCTGATGAGGATGATGATGATGATGATGATGATGATGATGATGATGATGATGATGATGACGATGGGGGTGAGGATGAGGATGATCATGATGATGATGATGCTATTGATGATGATGTTGATGTTGGTGTTGTTGATGAGGATGATGATTATGATGATGGTGATGGTGATGATGATGGTGGTGGAGATAATGATGATGATGGTTTTGAGTCTGATAATGAGGATAATGATGACACTTCTAGTAATGATGATGCTGATGCTGGTCATGATGATGTTGCTGATGTTGATGCTTATGATGATGATAATGCTGATGATGATGATGACGATGATGATGATGATGACGATGATGATGATGATGTTGATGGTAATGGTGGTGGTGATGATGATGATGATGCTGATGCTGCTGATGATGCTGATGATAATGTTGGTGCTGATGACGGTGATGATGACGATGTTGGCGGTAATGATGATGACGACGATGATGATGGTGATGATGATAGTGGTGATGATGTTGACACTGATGCTGATGATTATGTTGGTGATGATACTGCTGATGCTTCTGCTGCTCCTGTCGATGACGATGATCATGATGATGATGCTCATGATGATGATGCTGTTGATGATGATGATGATGATGCTGATGCTGATGCTGACGATGATGGTTATGATGATGTTGATGGTGATGATGCTGATGATGATGCTGATGGTGATGATGATGATGCGTATGATGATGATGCTGATGGTGATGATGATGATGCTGATGATGATCATGATGATGACGATGATGCTGATGATGATGATGATGATGATGATGATGATGATGATGATGATGATGATGATGATGATGATGATGATGATGATGATGATGATGATGATGATGATGATGATGATGATGATGATGATGATGATGATGATGATGATGATGATGATGATGATGATGATGATGATGATGATGATGATGATGATGATGATGATGATGATGATGATGATGATGATGATGATGATGATGATGATGATGATGATGATGGGTGGTGGTGGGCGTGGTAGTGATCATAGCGAGAGGGGAGGTGACCACAGCGGCGGGTCCTTTGTGCCAAATGCGTGATGCAAGTGTCAGGAGTTCTGTGCAACAAGTCTGGGACAAGTTTCGATCCGTGCCCCTGCAAATCCTCTCCTTCCGTTGGGGCGGGAGTCCCGGCGGGGCGGGCGGCTGCTTGCTGTTAACGAGCCCAGCGCGGGGGGATGCCACGTGTTGGCGTAACACGCGATGGGGGGAACTTCACTATTGCACCGTTCCCCCATGCGAGGGAATGTGACGAAAGTGAGGAGGAGGAGGAGGAGAAGGTGTTGGAGAAGGAGGAATAGGAGGAGGAGGAGGAGGAGGAGGAGGAGGAGGAGGAGGAGGAGGAGGAGGAGGACCAGTGAAAGCCCAAGAGTCATCAACGATGTTTGAATAAATCCTTCTCCAAGCTCCCTGATCATAGGCTCCATACAACGGTTCGTTTCCGCTGAAGGAACTGCCTCGTTGCAATGTGTTTGAAGACCCTGAAGCATGCCAAAACATTGTTCTCGGGAAGCCAAGGCCACGGATCACCCTGACTGTTCTGTCTTGACGAGTCCGAATCGTGCCAGAACGCCAGTCTTGGGATTTCAACACCGCGAATCAATGTACCTGCTGCACCCTCATGATCCTGAACCCTTCTAAAGCATCGTTGCTGGTACACTGACCATGGGAATCCGTGAAACTCTGGGAAATGTTGACAACGAATACGAGCGGCGCCGAGGCGAGATCCACATTTTGAAAAGGAGCCGCCTTCAATCCGTGAAACTCTTGCGAATGTGCGCGGCGCGCTGGCGAGAGCCACATTCAAAAAACGGCCCGCCCTCCATTTGTGAAACGATGCCAATGTTTTAGCTTCAGGGTCATAAATGGTAAGGATTTCTCCGGCGAAACACCCGGCCCGCCCCAAAAATTGGCTTCCGGGGTGCGACAAGGAGAAGTCATGTATCAGGAAAAGGCATGAAGGTGGACGAAGAGAAAAAAAGGTGGAGGAGGAGGATCAGCGCAAGTCCAAGAGTCATTTACGATGTTGGAATAGACCTTCCTCCAAGCTTCCTCTTCGTAGACCCCAGGGAACTGCCCCGTTAGAAAACAAACCGTTTGAAGACCCTGAAGCATGCCAAAACATTGCACTCGAGATTCCAAGGCCACGGATCAACCTGAGTGTTTCCTGTGACGATCTTGAATCGCGCCAAAACGCCGTTCCTGGGATTTCACCACCGCGAATCAAAGCAGCTGTTGCGCCCGCGCAACCCGGAACCTTTTCCAAAACACCAGATGTGGTATTCTGACCATGGGAATCCGTGATACTCTTGCAAGACGTATAAACGAATGTGCGCGGTGCTAAGGTGGGAGCCACGTTTTGAAACAATAATTGACGTCACTCCGACACAATCCTGCACTTTGTTCAAACAAATGCGCGCGGCGCGCAGGCGAAAACCATAGTTTGTAAACGGGCCGCCCTCAATCCGCGAAGCCCTTGCCAATGTTTATAACGAATGTGCGCGGCGCTACGGCGAGAACCACATTTTGAAATCGGGTCGCCGTCAATACGCGGAACACTTTCACACTTTTAGATTGTATGTGCGTGGCGCTGAGGCGAAAACCACATGTTGAGAGCGGGTCGCCCTCAATCCGCGGAGCCCTTGAATCTGTCAAAGCGAATGTGCGCGGCGCTACGGTGAGAGCCACATGTTGAAAACCACCCGACCTCAATTTGTTAAGCGGTTGCCATATTTTTGCTTCAGGGCCATAAGTGGTGAGGAAGCCTCATGCGAAACACCCGGCCCGCCCTAAAAACTGGCCTCGGGGTGTTACAGGGAGATGATGGGAATGATGATGAGGATGATGATGATGATGATGAGTAGGAGGAGGAGGAGGAGAAGGAGGAGGAGGAGGAGGAGGAGGAGGAAGAGGAGGCGGAAGGGGAGGAGGAGGAGGAGGAGGAGGAGGAGGAGGAGGAGGATGAGGAGGAGGAGGAGGGAGGAGGCAGGTGGGAAGTTGGTTGCGCCAGGGAAAGGGGGCCCGAGGGAGGAGCGAGGGAGAGGGAGGAAACTGCCCGGAGCGGTGAGAGGGGAAGAGGGCGGAGGCGGCGACGGCGGCGGCGACGAAGACGACTGCGACAGCGGCGGCCTCTCTGCGGCGCAGGCGCGCTCTGGCGCCGCGCCCACTGCGGCGGGCCGCGCGGCGGAACGCGACGCGCGCGCGGGGGGGGGCCCGCCGGCCGTCGCCCGAGAAGCCGCGTAGCGACCTCCGCAGGAAGAAGCGGCGGAGCAGCCGACGTCGGCGGCGCAGACGACTGCGGCGGCGGCAGCTTGCGGCGCGGCTGGCGGCGGCGACGTGAAGCAGAGGATGAGCCGGCGTCGGCGGCGGCGGCGAGGATTTGCGCAGGGGTTGGGGAGGGGTCTGGGCGCGGGAAGCGCGCGCGGGGGCGGGGGAGAGGAGTTTTCGTCTTCGAGGAGGTGGCGACCCCTCTGTTGTGTATAGTGTGTCCGTTGAGACTGCAGGTTATGTGCAGCGGGAGTGGGGACCTTTGGGTTCCCAATTTTGGTCTCAGGCCTTGCAGCGCGTTGGCCTTGCAGTGCGTTGGCACCTCGGGAGGGGGGTCGCGCCCAGCGGTTGGTGGTTCGCGACCCTAGGGGCCCCTGTTGCACGGCTATAGGGCCAAGCCATACCCGGCGCGCGGCTACTCCAGCGCCCCCCCAGTGGCCGCGTTGACCGACAAGAGAGTGGTGGGCACGCGCTCTTGCGCCGCGAAGAGGCATGGTGCGCGCAGGGGTGGGGCGGGGGAGGGGGCGCTGATTTGCGGGGCGCCCTGGGGCGCGCAGGGGTCGCCGCGGCAGATCGGGCGCGGGTGGTCGCGCGAGCCGTGCCTCGACGCGCCGCCCGGCGGTTGCTGCAGCGAGCGGGGCGCTGGCTGCGCGGAGTCGAGGAGTCGGCTGGGGGCGTTCAAATATTGAGAGGTTGGGCACGTGCGGGGGCCGACCTGGACAGGGGCCGCGGCGGCGACCAGGTTCGGATGTGCTTCGCGCCTGGCCATAGGGCAAGGAGCGCCCGAGCGTCCTCTACGAGGCTGCCTTGGCCTTGGCGGCGGAACGCCAGCTGCAGGTCGACCCGCGCTTTGAAGCGCTGGTCGAGGGCGAGCGGCAACCCGCGCGCGCGTCCACGGAGGGAGGCGCCACCGAAGAAAGCGGGCAGGCAGGGGCAGTCACCTTTGACCTTGGGGAGGCGGAGCCAGCCGGGAACGGGCCCGCATCGGCAGCCGAGACAAAGGGCGCGGGCCAGCCCAAGCAGCGGAAGGCGAGGGCTCGTAGCACGCCGACCCCCGAGCTGGCGAAGCCGGCCGCGCGGCGCCTGAGCGTGCGATGCAGCAGGCAGCCGGGCCACGAGGTGCTGGCCGACGAGCGGGGCCTCGATCGGGCAGCGACGGATGCGATGCTGGCCAAGCTCGCTGAGGGCACCCGCGCGACCTACCAGCCCGGTTGGCGGGGCTGCCTATTTCGCAGGCAGCTGATAGGCAACGGCCCTTATCGACAAGAGGAAACGCGCGGCGAGAGGCTCGCCGACGAGGTCGACCTGATTCGCTACGTGGTGTTCTTTCACGACGTCATGGGACGTCGGGCCACCCTTTTTAGGCGTCGCCATCTGGTGTGCGCGCACCCTGGCCAGGTTTGGTGACGTCGCCGCGGGCCGTCGGTGGTTGTGGACCACGATGGAGGGGCTACGGCGCTGGGGTGGCAAGGTCAAGCGCGAGCCGCACGCCGAGGCGGTGGTATTATGGGGGCCCCTGATGACTGCGTGCTTCCCCAGGCATCAGACAGCCCTAAAAAAACCAATGCCGCCCAGAACGTCATGGTTTTTAACCAAGACAAAGCAGAAAAACCAAGACATTGCAAACAAACCGAGACAATTGTAGTTCTGGTGATATAGCGTGTATGTTGTCGTTGGTTCGTTGTGAAGATGTTGTGTGTATGTAGACAGCTTTTCTATTATATGTAAGCGTCCAACAACAGACTGTTGTTGCAACCGCGTGCGTTGTGAGCTAGGAGCTGCGTCGTTGGGCGTTGGTAGTAACGCCTCTGCGTCTCAAGGGTACCGGAGCACAGGCGGAAGCCTAGAGGATAGTTTGGCGAGTCAGGGCTGGGGGGCAGTGCGGACAGAGAATCCACCAGATACGTAAACATGCGGGATGACGATGATTGTTTAAGCAAGGCAAACAGTTCTGGATCATCGTAAAAATGCACGCGCGTACGCGACATATGCGTTGCAACAACAACGCAATCTCTTCTCATCCTGGGATGGAAGCTTCGCCCCGAAGGGCGGTGCCCCGAAGGGCGACCGCATGTAGAAAAATATGGGCCAGGAGCGACGAGTCTTATTGTTCCTGGCTCTCGTTCCCTCTCTCTCGCTCTTTCTTTCTCTCTCTCTCTCTCTCTTTCTGTTTTTCTCTCTCTCTCTCTCTTTCTCTTCAGTTTTGCACTGTAGCACGCAAGTGTGTAGGGCACCGCTCTCGGACGGGAACGTGCAGGGGCACCGTTCTCGGAAATGTCAAAGGCCTGCAGCCGGCGCCGCCAGGGGCCCGAGGCCTGAGAAGAAACGCGACCCCAAATCAGCAGGGCGGTGAAACAGCCCACGGTGGTGAAACATAAGGGTGGTGGAACACACATCATACTTGTATATATACACATGAATACAACTGTATGCGTACGTATATGTTAAATGTATGGCAGTGTGTTTGTGTTCATGTATGTGTTGGCGTTGTTATTTACGGTGCTACATTATTATCACACGGTTCCCCATCCATTTTCCAATTATCCTTGCAATCGTTGCCAGGGAAACACCTGCAAAGCGGAAGTCGAGCAGAAGGGTTGGCGGCGGTGGTCTTCCCCGCCACCGAAAACACACAATAACGCAATCTGTGTCCACCTCTATTCGCCAAGTATGTTCGGATCCTTCTCCGTAGTCATCGGGAAATTCGACATGGAATTGTCGAATGCGGTGCCGTGCACGCAACAAAACAAACAACGCAATTTCTATTCATCACCTCCCCTATTTGTCCTCCTTCTGTCTTGAATTCCTCCCTTTTCCCTCCCTGATTTTCCCAATATCACCCTCAGGAAGGATGGAAATGCATAACGCGCGGTGGCGACGCTGTAAGTATTCCCAGACATTGAGCGTCTCGAAAAAAAACAAACAGAGGTGTTACATAGTTTTTGGCCTCTCGGGGCCCTCGCTGGGCGTCGGGACCGTCAAAAAACCACTCGGGATGAAAAACTAGTCCCAGGGAAGTGGTCGGGAGGTCGGGGGCCCGCGTCTCGAAAAAATTGAGACGTCGGATGTCTGGGTTTCCAATATGCTCACCGCGTGCGTGGTGATGCAGCCACGTGGGCTGCATGCGCGCCTGACGCAAAACAACAATCACGCAATCTCTGCTCCTCTTCGGAACGTTAAGTTGGCTAGAGAAAGCAGCAGCCTGACTGGAAAAAACAGGCGCCCGTTCCGGCGGGGCCAGCCGACAACGCAATCTCTTATCATTACCCCGTCTGAATACTATGCCCCTGTCCCTTTCCCCCAGGGGACCAAAACAGCGACCACGCATGGAAATTGTTGATGAAATCGTTCAAGCGCACCGTAGTGGCGATCCCAGCAATCTCTGCCAGGGCAGCAGCAACACAATAGTTGCGAGTGAAACGTTGTGAAACGGTACATAAAGTGCTCTCCGCGGAGTCCGTGAGCCCGCGATGGGCGCCGCCTGGGCCAGGAGGCCATAGGCCCCCTGTGCCCTCCACACATCAGGCGTCTCGATCTTTCGAATTGTTATTTGACGGTCCCGAGGGCCTGCACGTGAAATCCCACACCAACAAAAATCAGACAATCATGAAATATTGTCGTCTCGATTTTTTCGAGACACCCGATGTGTGGGTACGAGCAACAAACAACGCAATGTATTCTCATCCAATTTCCCCTCACAGTCCTTCACTCCTTTCTCCGCTACACACCCTCACCCCTTCTAAACTCGGATTGGGCGATGGGCTTCAACCGTTCACCGTTGCGCAGCAGCCTGCGCCTGCGTTGCAGCCACTTCGGTGCCAGAGCAGCGAACAACGCAATGTCTTCTCATCTATTGTCCCCCGCTTCCCTCCTCCTCTCCCACATTCCCGCTTCCCTCCTCCTCCCTCCTCCTCCTCTTCTCATCTAACTCGTAGAAGCAACAAGTAAAATCGATGGCCACGCAGCGCAGCTGCCTCACCGCAGGGGCCGCCTGGAAGCCGCTCGGGCACTCCAGACCGACAGAGCAAAAACAAAGAACAACGCAATCTCGTCTCCCATCTTTTTTCTCATCCGTAGAAAATCTGCAGCGCTCAGAATTCGCTCATGCTGGCCTCAAGCACCTGGCTGCCCCGCAGCCGGCGCCCGACGAACAACAAATCAACGCAATCTCCGCTCATCCATTGTGGGCTACATTTACCCTCCCCTGCCCCCAGGAATGCGAACAACAGCGCAATGTCTTCTCACCGCCAGGAAATACCATGCCAGGGCAATGCTCACGTCGCAAATGGCACGCGCGCCCCTCGAGGGTGGCCAGCAGCAGCCAACCCGTCGACCATCCAGGTCGCGGGGGTGGAAGAGGTGGCGGGGTGGGTGGGAGAGGTGGATCGAATGGGGGTGCTGGAGGGGACGAGGTAGAGGAGGAGTCGGCAAAACAAACAATCTCTTCTGACAAGCAGCGCAATCTCTTATTCAACTGTTTTTTTTGTGTTGGTGTTGTGTTTCGTTTTGCACATAAGCATTGTTGTTTGTTTGATGTGCTTCTGTATTGCACATATCGTCATTAGTTTGTGTGTGTCGTGATTCGATAAGTGCGTTTGGCAGTCAAGTAGCCCCGCTGTTGTTGCAAACCCCTTTCCTTGTTGAGCACATGCGGTGCACAGTAATTTTCTTTTGTCACGAACAGGAGGTGACGCGCCAAGGGAACAGATTTGAAGAGCCCGCACGCGACGCAAACATTACACGCGTACACGTGCTCAAGATCTTCCCCACCAGAGGCGCACTGCGATCAGCGCGCCTCGGGCAAGATCTTTTGCAACAGTGTAACGTAGAATGTTGGTCCCGCGTGCACGCTTTTCGCAGCTGTCCCCATGACTCGGTTCTCCTGCTCGTCCGCATATGTCCAATAAAAAAGGGGGTTGCCCTGGGTACTTGCTCTTTTGGCAAGGTCCCAGGCCACGTGAAACTTATACGTTTCG